CACACGCCGCACACGCCGCACACGCACACCTGACACACCGTGGACAAGGTGATCTCGGTGGTGAGCTTCGCGTCGTTCGGCACGCCCACGGGCGGCTTCCAGTGCGCCGCGTACGCCAGGGGCAGCTGCGACGCCGGCAGCTCGACCTACGTGGTGGAGCGCGAATGCCTGTTCCAGCACTCGTGCCGCGTGTTGGCCAGCGACGCCACCTTTGGAGAGCCCTGCCACGGTTCTGTGAAGAGCCTCCGCGCTTCCGTGCTCTGCAGCGACAAGAGGGTTGTCACCTCTTCTTCTTCTTCTTCCACCCCCGCCTCCAGCTCTCTCCTCTCTACATGACCGGTCTGTCTGTAACCCAAACAAGGAAGCCCACGCCTTTTGCCTTTCTCCTTTTTGTAATTTTGAGCTTGAAGGGACACCACAACGACGAACAAGAGGAAAGAAGATGTCGGTCACCATGGTCGGCGCCTTCTTCCTTCATGTTGTTCTTTGCAGTCGTGTTTGACCAACGATAATAACTCTAACTATTAATCGATTTATTGTCTCTGTGCTCTCGTCGATGTATCATGCAGTCCATCCAACAGAAGCAGCCCACGCAGGCCTGCCCGGTCTGTAACGGCCACTTCCCGCAGGTGGGCGTGTACAAGATGTACAAGAACCTGCCCTACCACACCGACTGCCTTCGATGCGCGGCCTGCAACTGCACCGTCGGCGGCAAGACCACCCCCTCGTCGAGTGGGAGGGCAGAGTACGCACCATCACCCCCCCCCACCCCCCCCAATACCGTCTTTCTCCTCTACAATCTCTCACACCTCTGCTTCATGTGAACACACTTCATGGACGTTCATCGCAGGTGCTGTGTAGCGAGTGCAACCAACGCTGCACGAGGTGCAACAAGCCCCTCCTGAACGAGTGCCTCATCGTCAACGACAGGCACTACCACCAGGGGTGCCACACGTGCCTGCGATGCAACGTCGCCCTGAGCGAGGAGTGCTACGTGCTCGACAAC